CACTGTATGTGTCACTGTGTGTGTCACTGTGTGTGTGTGTCACTGTGTGTGTCACTGTGCGTGTCACTGTGTGTGTCACTGTGTGTGTCACTGTATGTGTCACTGTGTGTGTCACTGTGTGTGTGTGTCACTGTGCGTGTCACTGTATGTGTCACTGTGTGTGTCACTGTGTGTGTCACTGTGTGTGTGTCACTGTGTGTGTATCACTGTGTGTGTGTCACTGTGTGTGTCACTGTGTGTGTCACTGTGTGTGTCACTGTATGTGTCACTGTGTGTGTCACTGTGTGTGTGTGTCACTGTGTGTGTCACTGTGCGTGTCACTGTGTGTGTCACTGTGTGTGTCACTGTATGTGTCACTGTGTGTGTCACTGTGTGTGTGTGTCACTGTGCGTGTCACTGTATGTGTCACTGTGTGTGTCACTGTGTGTGTCACTGTGTGTGTCACTGTGTGTGTTTGAATTGCTGGTTTCCTTCACCCATTTCGTCATACACAGATATTTCTACCAACGCCGTCAGACAGATCTGCCAAAATCTGCCGTGAAATGAGCTAGAATATTATTTGTGAGCGCTCGATGATAATAATAAGAAGAAGAAGAAGAAGAAGGCAATAAGAGCTTTTGTATCCCGCCTTTCCCCTCAGCATGGGCCCAAGGCGTACATAGGAGATAAAAAACACATTCATACTAACACCATATAAATTCATCATGTGCGCACATTTTGACAGCAACATTCTTTCAGACTGTAAAGAATGCAAAGGTACTGTCCATTACTTAAAATATCTCTGACATAGATGTGTTTTAAGTCTCCTTTTGAAGGTATCAAGTTTTATTTCGGTCCTCAAATCATGAGGGAGAGTGTTCCAAACTGTTGGCCCAGAAAAAGAAAAAGCTCCCTCACCCAGGAGAGATAGTGAACAAGCCCTCGTGCCTGTTCAGGTGGAAAATATCAAATTTGTAAAACATGACAGCTAATGTTGTTGTTGTTGTTGTTGTTTTTTTGTCTCATGTGGTTGTATGTGTTCTGTTCTGGAGAGACAAAGCTGTTGTCTAGGGGAGGGGAGGTTATGATGGAGGTAATGACACTGTATAGGGGAGGTAATGATGGAGGTAATGACACTGTATAGGGGAGGTAATGATGGAGGTAATGACACTGTATAGGGGAGGTAATGACACTGTATAGGGGAGGTAATGCAGGTAACTGTGTTGTCAAGGGGAGGTAACTGTGTTGTCAAGGGGAGGTAACTGTGTTGTCAAGGGGAGGTGACTGTGTTGTCAAGGGAAGGTAACTCTAGCCTTGTCCTCTGGTTGTCCCCCCCCCCCAGTGCCCGGCCAGACTGCGGCGAGCGTGGCGACCAGCGACAAGGAAGGCTTCGACGAGTTTGACTTCCCGGTGTTGTCTCCCCTTGGCTCGCTGGAGAACCTGTACGAGGCCATCCTGCCCAAGTCGAGCGAGGAGGAAGGTGGGCGGAGCTTCCACTACTACGACCCGCCCACTGGGCCCCGCCCTCTGTGCCCCAACGTGCCGGCCGACGGATACCTGGAGCCCGTCACTCCCCTGTCTGTGGCCGCCGCAGCCACAGCAACCTCCACAGCAACAACCACAACAACAACAACGACGGCGTCTTTGACCAGCTCCATGGTGTCTGCAGCCACGCCACCCACCACCTCCCTCCCCTCCTCCTCCTCCTCCTCCCTCCCCTCCTCCTCCTTCGCCGTGGGTCTGTCTTCCTCCCTCAAGTCCCCGGCCAGAACAAAGCCAGTGGGCGGGGCCAGCGGTGTAAGCCCCGCCTCCCAGGACTCAAGCTCCTCCCACAGTGGCCAGGCCACGTCGGGCAGCTCCAGCGAGGGAGAGAACTCTGGCGGGTCGCTCACGGACACAGCGCACGCACCGCTCGCCGCGGGTGCAAAGGTCAGCGTGGGGGGTGTGGCAGGCCAGGGGGCAAAGGTGAAGGCTGTGAGCTCGTCCAGCGGCGCGGGGGTGGGGGCGGAGTTTGTGGAGCCCGAGCTGACGGAACAGCGACGCCTCCTACTGGCCACGCAGCCCATCTACGAGGAGATCCCCAATGGGGAGGGGGAGCTGGGGGTGGGGGGCAGCCCCCCGTCTCTGCCCCCGGCCGCACCGCTCAGTGAGATGACCAAAGCCCAGATGGCGCATGCCTGGCTACAGCAGCCCCACGTGT